GGCTGGCAACATTAACATCTGAGATACACTTTGAGCTCTCATACATATTAACACTAATTTATAACAATCATCTAACACATTATATAGCATTTAATTGGGTGTTTTCAGTCAAAAGGAAATATATTTGATAAGGTTTTGTGTATTTGTCTTGCAAAGATATGTTATTTCTTTAAATCCTTACTGAAAACAACCTTTTAACCCCAAGAGTGACCTAACGTAACCTTACAATGCAAGTCAACAGTGATTACAATGATTTTACTGTATAACAATTATGAGAACGCATGATCCTTAGAAGCTAAATCTAAGAGTAAACTAAATAAGTCAATTTATCAATACTTTATCGTGTGCTATAACTACCTGTGTGCCTTCTATACTAAATAAACATTATTCTATTATGCACTGTATTGAGCCTTATCTACCTTATTGGTAGAGTTGTTGTGAATGGGGAAATTGGCTTTAGAATCTATTTCTGCAGTAAAGTTTGATATGTTATCACAGGGGTCTTCTGGGATTGAGTCTATTTTAGCCAGCCTCTCTATAAACTGTGTTGGATATAAAGCAGGATGTTATGGAGGTTAATCCCAGTGGGTTTTTCGGTATATCTGCTTTGATATACAAGTAAATCCATAATAAAAACATTTTTGAGTAACAGAACATCGAGAACAATGCCATGAAAGGGAGAATAAAGCTCCCAAAAGCTCCCAAAAGCTCCCAAAACCGGAGAGTGAACCATGTTTCTCTTGTGCAGAGACACACAGGCAGCTTTTTATTGTGTAGAGCTAAAAGAAACACACTCTGGGCCTTGGTGTGCAGTTCATTACAAGTGCAACCCAGCACCACCTCTGATAAGCCACCTTGTTCTGATTTATTTGCAATACCAGCCTCTGTGACACACTTTGTTTTTTCTAATGGAATTCTTTGCCCCCTTGTGATATAGTAAACTAAATACTCATTTTGTGAGCTAGATTTTGGATTTATGGGGCACAATCTACACCTGTTGACCATGTTTATCATTCCACTCAGGCCAGTGGATTTTATTCAGCGATATATATCTCTCTGACTATTGCCTCCTGCTTTTCTTTTCAAGCCGTGTAAATCCAACTCAATTTCTGTTGTTTGTCGCCATGCTGTTTTGTAAATTGATCTTGAATTGTGTTTGCTGGCAGGTGGATTTTATTTGGAGGGTCCAAAATTACCTCGCTATCGAACAAGTGAATAAAACCTGAGCAATTAAATATGCCAGATACGTTTGCAAAGCATCAGTTTTTGAAGCTGAGGGATTTGTCTTGTTGATAAAAGGATTTCACTCGCAAGCATTCAGTTGTGAGTACCAGCAGCTGTAGAATTGTGTACTTCATTTGAGTATTTCCATTGTATGCTTCTTGGAATTCTACTCCAACAAATTTCAGAGCAAAAAAACAAAAAACAAAAAAACACTTTACTTGACTGAAATTTTTTAAGCACTCAAAGTTACCAGTTAAAAAACCTGAAACGCCTCCATTGGAATCCTTTGTTTACTTCAACGACATAGTGACATCACTACGTAACACTTTAAACCATGGTATTTGTACTTCTACTTAAGTAAAGCATCTCAATACTTTTGCACCACTTTGGCTACACTGCTAATAAAACATGTTGTTTGTCTTTAACTGTTTTCATCTGATCCATGTACTGATCAGTGTTCATCTCATCCTGGTGTACCGTTACATTAAAGCGACCACAGACTCCAATGAGCAAATTAGGTTAGACGGACAGAAGCAACATTTACCCTTGTTATTTGCCGTAATACATTTTGTTATCTCAAATAACATTAATTTGTTCTAGATCCCCGTGTAAATGGGGTCAGAGCCGAATTAATTATTCGTGACCTATCCTTAATTAATAAGCTTATCCGGCTAGCTTGGCCTTTAGGCCTCAATAACAGAGGCGGGGGTAGGACAGGCGTTTAATGTTGTGATGTGCTGGATCTACAGGCACCAGACGGGGAAGCGAGAGCAGATTATTAAATGAGCGTTGTTTTCTGCTTGTTTGAGCAGCACCATCACTGGCAGATCATTCTAATGGAGATTCATATTTATGCTGAGGAGGCGTTGACACAGCGTGAGAGTGGAGGTGGGGTTGGTGCGAACACAGACTCTCTGGCTCGGGCTTTGAATTATCGCCTCTCTTCTTGCTGCATGGCCCTTAAGCCCTGCTGCTACATATCTTTCCCTCCTAATGCTTTCTCACACACACACACACACACACACACACACACACACACACACACACACCACACACACACACACACACACACACACACACACACACACACACACACACACACACACACACACACACACACACACACACACACACACACACACACACACACACACACACACACACACACACACACACACACACACACACACACACACACGCACACGCACACGCACACGCACACGCACACGCACACGCACACACACACACACACACACAGCAGGAGCCAGTCTACCTACACATCCAAGCTTCTGGGGGATTTATAGAGCAGCTGCAGAACAGGTTGATGGCTATGAAAGGGCATTGGGCTTATATATTAAAGCAACTTAAGTACAAGACATGGCCAAATGTATGTTGACACTTAAGCATTGCATCCATACTGTAGTTGTTTGTCATCCCTGTATCACTGTTCAGACTGGTGAACACTTTTTTACCCTTGTCAGATAACAGTGGATTCACATGGGATCCAATTGGTCAGAGTAAGAGACTGATTGAGGAAATAGTGCCTATAAATGAAGAGAAACAGGTGATGGCAGGCAAAAAGACCGCAACAACAGAAAAACAATGACCTAGCAAAGACACGCTTCTACTCATAGCCCCTCACATACAAATACAAGTAAACAAAAACGCATTAACACATTTCCCCCACCAGTTAGGATTGTTTCATGTTGGAGATCAAAAGAGCCCATCAAACAACATATATTTGATCAAGGGCAGCCTTAAGGACACATGTTTGAAATGGACGCACAGCATGTTTCGAACAGCATGACACAAGAACAACAATATTATAGTGAGGAGAGCTTGTAATTACACTCAAGATCAAAATCACTTCAAGGACCTTGAAGTGCTGCAGAGGACAGGGCCAGGTACTAACTGCTGCTTTGAAGATATTGGTCCTGCTTCACATGGAGAGAGGAGGAGCGGACTGCCTTGGTGTGTCACATCAGAGGGTTTGTGCGGCTCACAAACCCTCTGATGGACGAAGGGGGTTATTTGGCCCTGGTGTATGTTCACAGATTTGTTGTTATGTTGCAGTTTGAGGCCAGAGAGCCTACAACCCCCACTGTGCACAAGCCACTCTACTTTGAAATGAAAAGTATTTATTTTGAAGCTATAGGGTTTTGTTGGCATGCATTGCTGTCTACTTCAATGGTTACCCCCAGTGAAGTCTGGAGAAGGACACAAGAGGATGCTGGCTACAGATTTATGGAGAACATTAGATATAAGCTGTGTCACCCCACTCTCATTAATTAGGTAACCATTAGTATCGTCACGATGCTGCTTTAAAGAAGAACATCTTAGAAATATGAGCTTTGTTGTGGATAATAATGATTTCTTTTGAATCTCAGGATTAGCCCGTTTCTCCTCTCATTGAGATATTTCTAAATGATCTATCAATGTAATGGCTCACACCTGATGAGAATTGATGTAAGGGTTTGCTTTTATTTGTTCATCTAACTCAGCCATGAAATCCGGACATGCTTAAAACGCATCTGCATCTACTTCTTGATTTTGTTTTTGACTAACAGAAGGATGGATTTATCAGAAATGAGGAATGGATGATATGTTTGTGAACGTTGTAAATAAACTTTAACATTACATTCCTGTCACCGTGACTGTGTTTGGCTCCGAGGTGGGGGATTTAAAACGTACTTAAACAAAAGTAAGAAAAATGCAACATCAAAGGCTTGGATTTGAATGTGTCCCTTCAACTTGATTTCACAGTGAAGCGTTGAATTAAATAGAAATGCCAAATGAAAGTATTTGCACCATTTAAAAAAAAATATCCTATAGGGACGTTTTATAAAAGCTCCAGAAATCTGTACCAGGCCGACTTCACAAGGTAGAACATATAGTAAAATCATTTCTGACGCCTTTTTGTCGTTTACTTTCCTAACAGTGGTAGATACACAGTCCCACCTCACAGTTCTGACACTTTCTCATCAGAAGGAGTTATTTGTCTACCTACACTGGATAGGAGACTGGATGGGAAGGTGAGCATCCTGTAAATCCTTGGAGAGGATGAAAGCAACCGAGCTCTCATAAATTCTCCAGGCTGACTGGTGGAGGCTGCTGAGGAGCAGGAAGTGCTTTTTCACAAACAACCAGCAGACAGAACCGATATTTCTGATGTTGTATTTCTGTGTTACAAGCATGAAAGCCACAGGTGAGGTTCACTTTGGGATTATTATATATATTTCAGTCCATTTACATGCACAAAAACCTGTAAATAGAAACACACTACAGGGGAGGGAAAACCCCAAAAAGTGTAATCCAGTCATTTGCTCACTTCTTCCGCAACCCCTGGCTGTTGCTGTAAAAACCTCACAATATAAAACATTTGTGCATAAAAGGCTTCACATTGGAGCAAGCTTGCTACTCGTCCTTATGAGTCTGGCCTCCTCAGTGTTTGGATTATTTGTTCAATGTAGAAGCATGAGAGTAAAACTAAGTGTTTTTCACAAATTCAAGGAAACACTGGGTGAGTGATAAACAAACAAATGTTCAAGTATTCCTTCAAAGATGTGTTGGTTTCGTGAGTGTATTTGGAAGCCTGCATAAATTGGAAGCACTGCAACGTCTATCCTGCAGATTGCTTAGATATATTGATCTTAAAATGCTGATAAGATAGCAGTGCCCCTTATACAATCATCTTAAAAGGGCCCTTTTGACTTAAAGAGCACATTGGTGTGTGTTGGTGGCAGACCAAAGTCTGTTTGAATTTGCTTGACTCTTACTTTCAAAATACCTCTGAATCCTCTCTCTGCCCCATTGTTTCCACATTACAGTACATGTCCTTCCTCGTCAGGAGAAGACTGCCCAATCCGATCTCCATAATGAAAAGTGAGCTCTCCCTACCACCCTCCTCCCCCTCACCTGCTTTCTCTCTCTGTCATCAGCTTCTGTCTCCTTTAACTCTCCTCTTACTTCTGGATTCAAACCCTCAAAGTCAGTTCAAAATGAGTATAGGATCCTGAGTGAGTTTGGGATGTACCAGGGTCACAATGTAAGGATACTAGGGATGTAACGATACCAAAAACTCACGGTACGATAATATTGCGATAACAAGTCCACGGTAATTGAGACATTTACTTGAAAAGATTTTCTTTATTAAATAATAAATCTGATTTGCACAGCATTTTAGTAGGATAGTAGTATTTTAAAGTGTCCAAAATACAATAATTAGACCCTGCAATAGAATAAATCAAGTTTCACTTTAGTTTTTCAAGTAACTCAACTCTAACTCACTCACTCACTAACTCACTCACTCACTCACTCAGCATCATCAAGGTTATCTTTTAGGAATATGAGCATGTCCACATTTCCAGGTAGAAGCTGGGATGTTTGGGCGTTTACAATATCCCCTGCTGTGGAAAAAACTCTCTTGCTTGGTACTGATGTTGCTGGGAGAGAGAGATATGCTTTGGCCATGGGTGACAGCAGTGGGTCAAACTGCATTGTCTCTCCACCACTTCAAAAACAATACAGTTTTTGCCAAGAAGGTGAGGCTTATTGACAGAGATATAAATATACTGTTGGTACTTGTCCATGTCTCTAGGTGTGTACATGTAGCCCTGTAAATACGATGTCCTTTTGTGTTATCTGTTGTTTTATGTTCATGTTGTAACCATGGTTGTAACCTACTTGCTGCCATGTTGGACAGGTCTCCCTTGAAAAAGAGATCGATGATCTCAATGGGACCACCTTTTTGAATAAAGCTTTAAAAAAAAGACAACAATATTTTGTCAGTCTCACGACGGTATCGAGACATTTATTTATCGCGATATTCGATATATCGTTATATCCCTAAAGGATATTGTTGTATCTTATGAGTGTTTGCTGAGTCTATTAGCACCTGGTTGGACCATGTTTGAGGTTTGATCGCTAACGACTAAAACACGGTATTGTGCTGATGATACAAGATAAATATGGAACTCAAAGTGGTCTGGACTGATCTGCTCTCAGCCTCTGTGGCAAAAACAAGCAAATATCCCGACCCAAAATACGCTAACAGAAGCTCCGCAGCACATCCATGTGTATACCAGAAGAAGGAGTAGTTTTGATTTGCTGAATTTGGCATTAAACATAACTAAAAGGAAGATAAAATACTCATGATATGTGATACTGTAGACATATGTGAGCTTTTATTAGCCAAGACATAAGGTGAAAGGTGAGATCGTCTATTTACTGAAGAGTGGTTGGTGACACCACTGACCTATTGTCACGCTTCAATTACATTTGCAGGCGGGGTTAACTGACGGACGGACAGACAGATTAGATTATCATGTCCGGAGAGAAACAATACTCAAACACACACACTGTGTTCAGTGTACACACACAAAGTGGAAATGACTTCCTATGAATCTCACCTTTCCTGCTGCTGAGGCTCCTTTGTCCATTGAGAAGCTGCAGAGAAACAGATGAAGAGGAACAATTAATCACTGAGGGACAGTAGAGTCGTTACACAAACAAATACATACATATACACACACTCACAAACACACACTGTTTTCACGGCAATTATAAGGAATTGTAGTGACATTGATGAAAAACTAAAACAGATAGATTTATAAAAGATATATATATATGTTTTACATTTAGGGTTCTTACGACAGCTATTGTTCCTTGAAAGAATAGCGGTATGCGATACATATTCAATACATATTCAATACATGTACTGATGAGACTTCACGTAGCGACAGTAGTAACTTGAATTCGACCTGTGAAAAGTTTGTTTACACTATGGAGTCTGGGAGCAGCAAACTTAATGTTCCTGATGTTTGAGAAGGACATCTTCTTTGTATTTTTAAACTTACATTTCCCCCCCCCTTCATATCCCTTTGATGGCTCTGTACATCATATGTATGTCCTTCCTTAAAATAAATCCTCAAACATATTTGTCTCATTATTCTGCAGCCACCCATCCATTCTGCATGTGAACCACCTGACTACACAGAAAGGAATCTCGAAGCACTGCCACAAGTGTGTTGGATATGTTATATAATGATTAGGATATGAGGCCGGATAAGGAATTGTCAATATAGTTAAATGAAAAAGTAATTCTAAATTCAATAATTGATGAGTCAATGTAATATAAAACATGACCAGACTACAAACTGCAGCTACGCTCTTAGACTGATTGATGGTTTTCTTTTCATTCATGACTTTCATCTGAACCATGAGATGTTCCCTTCATCCCTTCTTTATGTTTGATTTTCTTGGATTGAAGTTAGAGTATACATGTAGCACTTCCATGCACTGATAGACACACACAATCATAAAACTGCTAAAGCTTATATCAACATTTTCTCACAGTCCTCTCAAACACACTCACACACTTGGCAGCTACAGTGTGATAAAGAGGATAAGCAATATCTAAACTGACAGCTTTTCATCTTCATCAATATATTTCTCATTCCTCACAGGCTGATAAATGCGTACTTCCACAGATTTTAAATTCTCGTCATGGCTTTTATGTTTTCTTATGATGTGGCAAAAACTGCTGCAAATGTTAACTGGCCATGTCTGCCCGTCAGGCTTTTTAATACATGTGAAGCACAGACATCAAAATGCATGACACAAACGCACTCGACTAGATGTCTTTACATCTGTAAGTTCCCACGCAGTAATATGCTTTAAATCCACTGGTTAACAAGTTTGGGGCTCTCTGCTGGAACTGCTACCGCCGCGACCCGACCACGGATAAGCGGGAGAAGATGGATGGATGGATGGATGGTTAACAAGTCACCTCAAAGCGCTGCCTTCGGGGCAAGAAGTTACAGAGAATATATAATATACGGGGGTACGAGAAAGACTGCAGTCTCACCTGGGAAAGTGTGGAGACCTGTTTCAGGATTCCAATTCAATTAACCCGCTTGACTTTTGAGACCGACCATGCCATTTATTCTCAGCATAGTGATTATTTAAATGTCTCCTCCATGCCTGCGCTCGTTGTACCGTCAGATAGCCTTGATGTAAAACATAGGCTAGTAAATTAAACACAGTGTGCAGCACTTTACTCTGACTGATTTAAAATATGCAACATGGCAGAAAGAAGCCGATCATGACATAAAACATTATTTCAAGTAAGAAAATGTAATAATTTATTAAAACATGACAGTAAAAATGAGTATAATATCTGAGTGCCTTTAAATGTTAACTTAGCTTTTACAATGCTGTTACTTATTTTCACCATTGATGTGTACTTATGCATCTTGATTTTTAATATAATACTAATGTGTGCTTTTCCTCTATATTTAATATGTTAACCCGGTGCAGGACTAATAAAGGATTTCTGATTGTGATACATGTTCTACTGGTTAGCTGTCTCTCCCCTGCAGGAAACACTGAGCTAACCATAAACCAACCCCTCAGGAGGGTGCTCACTCGTTATCAGTTTTAAAGTTGAATACCTTTTTGAGCTCTGGTTATTTTTGGAGAATCAGAGAGGCATTAAAAGTTCTGAGTTGTCGGGTTGAGTGTGATTGTGATGAGGAAATGAGTCTGGCATTTACATCAGACTTTAGTTTGGCTGTTGGGGCTCACATTCATTCCAGGTGATGAGCTGCAGATGAGCTGCTCAGGTGTGGCATTTTGAGAGGAGCTTTTGATATTTTCCAACAGAGCTGCATATTACATATTTGTATTTCTACAAAAGGAGTAAATACAATTTCTGCCATCAGAGACAGACAGCTGATCACATGAGACTTTTCCATCTACTTTGGATCAAGACTGGTAGGACGTTTTTCATTTGTTATAATAATGTCTAAAATCTTCTGGGGTTTTATCAAAGTGTATAGAGAGTTTTGCGATTCAACAAATCATATTACATTATTTGTATTATACAAATAGATACAGACACTGTAAAAATACAAGGTGCAACTCTTTCTATTGTGTTATTAATATGGTAGTTCTTCTCTTCCTGGAGACTGATATAGAATTTGAATGTCTGTGTCATTTGCACAAGGGCTTGGTAAATATTAGAAAGATCTAATGAAAGTCAATGTACTGTAAAGACGTTTTGGATTTGTGTCTCTAAGCATTTGGTTTACGTGGAGAATATCTCCAGAGCCTCAGGTGTGCTGTAGAGCTGCTGCAGGCAAGCAGAGAAATCAATGTTGAAAAAGCCCAATTAATAGTTACATTAATAGTTTAAAATACTACCATAGTCATCGACAAACGCTGCAGGGTTCCCTTCATGACAACTGTACATTTGGTGAACTATAATATATATCTTATATAAGGGTTGAAGTTAAAACATTTTTGGCATTCGTGGGTGCTGCCATTCTGCCTCTTGAACCTAGCTTAGTCTTAGTGCCACCCAAAAAGCTAATGTAAATGTACTCTTTAAAAAAACAAAACATTTACTGACTTTTTTAGGATACCTTAAAGTGATGTTGTAAAATAACCCCTTACAGGGTTAATAATGATTTCTCTCTATACACTTATATATACAAAAAAAAGACAATACCCCAATTTATAGACTTCTCTCAAGTCAATGGCAAAAATATTTTTTTTAGCCAATGACGTCGTGGACTGACACAGACTGAAAAGCTCTTCAGAAACCTATGTGTGATGTCACAACTCACCCTGCGATGCTGCTGTTGGCCGAGCTCTCCCCTATCTGCGAGCTGGCGATCCACTTGGTCTCCCCCACCACCGTCCTGGCGTGCGGCAGGCGGCCCACGTCCTTCACCGTCATCATCAGGTGCCGAGACGACTTCAGGACCCGGACGGCCTCGTCGTGTGGGATGCTCAGGAAGCTGTGCCCGTTCACCTCCAATATCTGATCTCCGACCTGCAGGGAAGGGAGGGAACACGTAGGCATGGTGGGGGGGACTGAGCGAGGCGGTAAAAATGGTCCGTGCAGAGACTGCCGCATGCATAGGATCAAGGTCAAAGGTCAGAGAGGGCAGATGGAGGTGGTGGAGGAGTGTAACATGTTTAATGGATTAGAATTAGATAATTAGGTGGTCGGTTTCTTGTTAAAAGCGTTGGCTCTCTCAGGTTGGGTGAAATAATTACACATCGAATAAAGTTTCCTCCGCTCACTGACAGGTTCAAGACCAGCACTGTTTAATATGTAATATAAATGGCTTGAAGCAGGGACCCCTGTCTGTGCTCAATGAGGCGGAGCAGCTTCTCAATTTTAAACTGCACTTTTCCCAGGCCTCACTTGGTTTTATCTCACAGCTGTCAATCATGACTCAGACTTTTATTATGTACAACTGACAGAGAAACATTAGAGAATTAGCAAAAGGATAATACATAACTAAAAAAGGTCCTAAGAAGTCAAATCAATAATCAAAACAGAAAATGCACATGGAATTGAGGATCTGGACTGCTTCTAGGTATTTGTTTATCCCAATGATATTGAGTTGAAACCTGTTTGATCAACAATGGGGTAAGTATGGAGGACGAAAAATAACATATTTATAAATAAATGTGGAGACAAATGTAAAAATAAATGTTAAATCCATTATTTTGATGAACGACTTTCATTTATTTATGTATTCATTTAATTATTTCCATATATTTTTCTTTCGAATGTAATTTGTATTCCCCTTATTTATGAAGTTATTATTTCTGTATTGATACATTTGTTTATATATGTATACTAATGTAATAGTTATACTAGTTATTTACTGTCATTTACCTGTTGTAAAATAATGGATGAACATGGCAGAGGATACATTTATACTGAAAGTGTTTGAGATGGTGGATTATTATCTGCTGCTTCAAAATCATCTATCACTGCCCAAGAAACCGATTCATATATAAAGATAAGGGCAGAAATCCAAGCTTATTTGAAAACCAAATCTGTTGTTATTCATATCATATATCAGCTGTTTATGATGGAAATGTCAGATCAAGTTAGCTTTAAATGCATTTGATAAGGCATTCAGTTTGCCCTTTAGCAGCATTAGAGTCAAAAGATCTTGTCCTCCGTGTAGTGAAGATGTGAATGTTAATACACTACAGTCTAAAATCTATAGGGATATATAACTTCTTCATGATTTGTCTAGCCTAACCTCTTTAATAAGGGTTCTATACTGTATGTACAATGGCACAAAAAAACATGATAATTGTAATGAAGGAGGGATGAAAAAGAAGCGATAGCATAGAGAAAGCTACCATGGCCTTAACACTATCATGCATTTCAAACACTACAGACACCTTTCAAAAAAGCAGTATGAGACATGGGGTGCTTCTCAATGTCGAGTACGCTTGCTTGGTAGCACATGTCTTCCGAGCGTCTTGCTTCGGAAGCGAGGCAAGAATCCTTCCTGGCATTCGGAAAACGAAGAGTGGAACAGGCGAGCAAGTGTGCGTCATATGAGAGGCCCCGCCTTACATTTTCCGCCACAGATTTGGGAAAATTGGTCCGTGCGCAAAGCATTGTGGGGATTTTAAGACCGCAAAGCCTACACATGTGTAGCCTCGAAATTTCCAAACGAAGTACGCCGGGCTCGGTAATTCCAGGTATGCTGGGCATTGGAACAGTACTTCGGCGGCACTCGATGACGTAGGATGCTTGAAATAGTGGTTCTGGAGCAGCTTTACTCGAGATTGAGAAACACCCATGGTCCCTCCAACCCCCTACTCTACTCTGATAGAGGTGTGCACATCTGCACACATGGAGAACTCATAATTGCCAATTATACACAGTGTGCAAACTAAGAGTGAAGTGCTATTAAGTGCTTAATTTGGACCTGAGTTCCTGTTATTAGCTTTTCTTTTTAATGACTGATTTTAAATGCCATTTTCTTAATCTCTTTCATTTTTTGTAAAGCACTTTGAATTGCCTTGTGTTGAAAAGTGCTATATAAATAAACTTGCCTTGCCTTACACACACTGTCGTAAGAAATAGTCCCTTGTCCCTGAAATGTAAAGAAATAATGGCAGGTAGTTTAGATGCTTAGTGCTTCACACTGACTCTATTAACTTTCCCCGTCACCATAACTGTAATAAATTAGTCACAGAGGACACTCTCATCACTCCCCCTTTACAACAGGCACAGAGTCGCTGGTCCTGCAAATGACTGTCTGGCATTTAAACTTGATGTAGTGTTTAGCATTTAAAGAAAGTCCCCAAATGTTACTTTCTGTCTCTTTGTTCCATTCCCTCTTTACACTGGTCGGCCAACCGCACCTCCCAATCATGTCCAGTGTCTTACAGGAAGCAGCAGCCAGAGCAAACTAGAGATTAAAAGACATTCAGAATATCGTACGTTTCAGTTTCTTTGGCTTTTTCCGACAGCCCGAGATGACCCGACAAACTGTGTGTCACTGCTAATGCACCTCGGCACATCTGAGGACGTGCTCCACATAAACCTCCACCTTTATCAGAGCCTTTAATGGCACCGTTTTTAATATGTATGTGGGCCGTTTGATTGCAAATGCAAGGAGGGAAACATCAGAACTGAATTTTGAGATGCAATCAATCTAATCTCGTCTACCATACACTCTGCTGCGGCTTAGGAAGAAGAGAGATTACAAGCGTTTTTCAGCTGTTTGTTTTACAAAAAGCCACGGAAAAGACTCAATAATCTGCTTCTTACAGACTGTATACAGTGCTTAGACCCCAGAGATCAGTTTGTTGGGAGCTCAGCTCGGTTTATCTCAGTTTCACTTGGAATAGACGCAGCTTTAGAGCACACATGGCTTTGAAATGTACACAGCTCGCTTCATTGTGTTCATATCTCTGTCACTTGAAGATAGTGTCCCAGTCCCGTTCAGCCGTGACATTGTGATAGTGAGTCAGCATTAAAAAAAAAACCTTGGCTGAGTCCCATATCAGAATATGTTATATTTAAGTATAAATAAACCAATCCTATTTTCAAAGTTGGACAAAAACTAAGGGTATTATCATAAAGATTTAGGCTACATAAAGTCCTCACTTTTTATGTTGTTATTATTTTTTACACAGTTGACTTATCTCTGCATTTGACTTGCACCATTGTGTCACGTGCACTATTTTCTTGCATTATCTTGTGTTTGTTTCTTTACCTTTCTTCAGTATATTGCCGATTGGAGGAGCCTCAGACTTCGGATTTTCATAAGCATCAACTTTCGCATTGGACAATAAAACCTTTGAGTTTTGTCGCAAAATAGCCAAATGGAAGACACAATATGATAGGTAGATAAACTAAAGGCTGCAACTGATTATTGCAAAGGCAACACATGTCCTAGAGAGACCCCCGCCCCAGCACGGATGCCGGTAAGCCCGACTGAAGTCATGGCCATTAGGTAGGAACTGCTGTTATCGCTGCGAGCTGATTTTACGGCTATTTTCAAGGATCAGATTCGGGCAGTGCTTGAAAGTGAAATGTCAGCTATAAAATTTGAAATAAAAGCTGCCAAAACAGAACTCTCCAACTGTAAAGCTGCCATAAAAACGAGGTGGCAGTGATGGAAACAGGACTGTGTAGGTGTCTGGTTTTATGTCAAGGTTTTACAGCGTACAGTATAACAACTTTCCTCCAGGTAGCATCCCTAGAAAAAGGTATGTGGAGGTTTAGGAAGATCCAGGTGCAATAATATCTGAATAGTACGGGGACCAGGAGGCCAAAGCAGTCTCTGTGAAGCTTAGAAGATTTCCAGCTTGGAATGAATCCTAAACTGGACAGAGTGCACTGGACCTGACAGCCATTACAGAAACAAGCCAGAGCCTTACGGCCCGTCTACACTACAGGCGTCAAAAAATGCTTTCAACGCTTCGCCCATTCATTTGAATGGGGTGACGTAGGATATTTTCAAACTTCGCCGAACTGCATTGTGGGTAGCATGGCAAGGCGTTGCAAGCATCGCGAGGGTCTATCGGCGTCAAAAGTTGAACAATGTTCAACTTTTGAGGCTCGATGCTTGCTCGAAGCTGGCGTCAGCCAATCAAATCCCGTTTATGCACAGTACAAGCTAGCCAATCAAACCGCGTGTATGCTGGGAGAGACTACGCAGGTCATTTCCTCATATTCCAAACGAGAAATTACGGTAGCAAATCACCCGGTTCTTTACGACCAGAACTATTTACCGGGATACAAACCGGAGGAACCAGGCATGGAGGGAGGTGGCAGAGACAGTGGGTGAAACTGGTAGGTTTTCACCTGTTTGGGAATTTTATATCCAGTTTACTTCGTTTTAACATTGCTATTGCTTTGTATGTCGGGGGCGGGAGATTCATGTGATTGGTTGTTGGTGGCGTTGCTCGCAAAAAATCGCCAAGCTTCAGACACGCCCAGCTTCAAGATTTGTTGATGCCTGTAGTGTAGACGGGCCGTTAGAGTCCCGTCTTTATGACTTACTGACTGCTGCACAGAGGCGAGTGAAGGCGATTGATATACCAATCTCTTTCCATGCAGACTATATAGCAAGTGGCACCATGCACAGGCAGCATGCAATGGCCACAGACATTTTGGTAATAATATTTGAATAATACAAATAATCACAATAAAATAAAATAAAAGGAAATTAATGTATTATATTTTGTTAATTCATGAATATATGTTTTAACAGCTTAAACGCTAAGAAAGAAAGATACATATTTAGTAATTATTACTAGCCACTTCATTTTGCTAACATTCCCATTATGCATCCTTGGATTTATGAAAGGCATTATATAACTATACATTACGTTATTATTATTTGTATGCAATGCTTTTCATTTTATAGCACTATTAAGCACAACCATACCTGTCAGTAATGATAACATCTTTTATTCTGAAATCTAAATGTATGTCATTATAGAGTAAGCTGCTACATATTGAAAAGCTACAGAAGAAAACCTGCTCCAAATCTGTAC